CCAGTATTCCCCTTCAGTATTTCCAAAACCTTCCTTGTATTCAGCCCACGTTCTCATAAAGCTGACTGAGCCATCTTGTCTACGTTGTATTACAGTCCACGCACCTGACTCTGTCATTTCACAGACACGCTAACGGGTGTGGATGTGCCTTCTGGTTGTATCTGGTAAACACCAGAGATGGGTCCAACTTTATTCTGTATGTCATCACAATCTGGAAATAATAAATTATTTATTATGAGAATGAACTTAAAAAGATGTAAAATCAAAAACGACACGCATGTGTAGTTATTGTTATTGTATGTATCCAAAACAACCAGTGCGCATGCGTATTAAATATATGTTTTGTCAAACAGCATTTCAAACAAACAAAATTGAACATTTCTTGTTCATTGCATTTTTAAATTTGTGAATAATTTGACTATTTTATCACGATGTTTTTTTAATTTTTTTTATATTGCATCTTGAAATTAGGTTATGAGTACTATAACATGAAACATGTTTTCGCAATAAACATCGCAGTATTCATTTGACAAAATATAGTTAATACGTAAAATAAAAACATTCTGCCTGTAAATATTTTCACATTTCTAAATATAATTCCAGTGTAGATTTAGTACCGTTATTGACATAGTAGGAGTCGGTCACCAACATAAAATGATTATGTAAACCTAGATCTCTCGATCAGTTTTTCAATCTGCATTGCAATATCTTTTGAATGACAAAATCTGTCATTGTTAGCTTTCAGGTCATTTTGTTTCCTTGTAAAAAAATGTTTTTGTTGTCTCTTCTGTTTCTAGATTCATAGTGCTGCTTTAGAGTTGGTCAGCAAGTGCATCTCGTTTTAATTTATTCATATACACTTATCCAGAAAGTTGAAAAGACTGATTAAAGACATAACTATTCATTTCTGATATTTATGATTACCTTGTAGTTTATTTTATTCACGTCCACGTGTTTTGAGAAGCCCCCTAAAACTACGCACATGGCAAATATAAAACAACTAGTGAGCAACGTTACATACAATTGAGATGCTGAATTGTTCGTGTTACGGGCATCAAGTTATGAACATCGAGTTACAAAAATGACCACGCCCATATTTTTAAACCACGCCCAAATTGTAACTCGATATTCAATTCACAGTTGAACAAACTTCGAGTTACGGGCAACATAGATTGCTATTGTTGTTTAACGTCCATATTTAGTAACTCAAACTTTAATTAACAGTTAACTGAACTTCGATTTACGCGCAACATATATTTTCTTGTTGGTTTATTGATGTATGTTGCCCGTTCAAAATTCAGTTAACTGTTAATAACGTTCGAGTTACTAAATATAAATATTAAACAAAACACAAAATCCAGGTTGCCCATAATTCGATGTTGGGTCAACTGATCATTAAAGTATAACACTGCCCGTAACAGTGGTTTCTAAAATATAGGCGTGAACATTTTTGTAGATGTTTTCGTAACTCGATGTCCGTAATTCAGTATCTCCAGCAAATCACGTGCTTGTGTTGATCAGTGAGCGACATTGTTTACGAGGGATACGCATGCTGGGTGGCGATTATGTGAACAAATAAAACCACAGTAAGTTATACTGTCATTGGTTATATTTTTGCCAACCAGCATGCGATAATCGGAAATGCATGTTTCTCACTGACCAGCTCACTGAGCTCTTGATTTACTGTGACAACATTGCCTATAAGTTGTTTTATTGACAGAAACACGTACAATCATCATTACAGCAGCAGTCAACACAATTTATCCTCTGCTAGTGGGATCTAGTTAACCAATCACTGTTCTATAGTTGTGTCTGATCACTGCTCTATAGTTACGCAATCACAACCCGACAGCAATCAGTGTTCTCCACTGAGGTCGAAGGAACAATAATTTACCCACAACGTTCCATGGACGATTAGTTTCTCAATATTTAAATTTAAGGGTGCCACCAATTGTTATGTTTTTTGCCACGCACTACCACTTCAGCCCTAATTCACCAGCTCGGGGTAGTTCTAAGCTCTGCTGTCATTGTAGATGACCGGGGGGGGGGACTGCTCATATAGATGTCCGCCGTCGTCTGTTGTCTGTCTGTCCGTCTTCCTTACTGTTTCGACTTCTTCCTCAAAACTACCAGCCCGTGTGCTTTGATATGTTACATGTAGGTACCTTGGGTGGACCACTATCAGATTTGTACACTTCGTGAAGATATCATTATTCTATATTTTTTGCAACTGTTTTGGTAAAAATGATATTTTCGATTTCTTCTTGAAAACTACCAATCCTACTGTATTGCTTTGATATTTGAGGTATTTTTTTGTGAACTACTTCTTTTATATTGTTGACTAAGTTTGTCCAAGTTAGTTATTGAACTACCACATCGACTTTTGCTTTTGTTTTTTCTTCGATAATATTGATATTAATATCTAAATCAAACTGTTGATCAAGTTATTTATGCAACCCACATTTCGTACAATACTCAATAAATAGTCAATTCATTTCGGTTTACAATGTATATATTTCATTTATAGTCATATGATATTTTCATCTGGTCAATACATTATAATTAAAACAATCTTTCATGTTTTTTTTCATAAACCACCACCTGCCGAGATCCCGTAAGGTGAACGTAGTAAATTATTGCTACGTTCACGTTGAGAGATCTCGAAACAATTTTAATCATTTGTGTTTGCAGAAGAATTACAGCAGTTGCGTGCACGCTGATAGTCGGGACCCACTTGGGACCAACTCGACTCGTGTCGAAATCATGCACCCAAACATAGAAAACGATACTCATATGATGCTAAGAAAAATGGCTTTATTGAAATTATATTCATTTGATTTTATGGTATTTATTACGAGTCATCGTGCACATGAACGGCAAAGAAGATTAGAAAAACAATTATTTGTTCACGCCTAGTAGCATTGCGGTTGCAGCAGCGTATAAATATGTGTCGATGACAAACGTTCTGCATTCATTTAATTTATTACTACAAAATCCGACCATTATACAGCTTTACTTCCCTCCATCATCATGTCATATATTATATATATATGTCTTAAATGTTCTCTTAAATTCACCGCCGATGGAGTGATTTCGGCTCTTGCCGAGTGTTCATGCAGCAAATCTCGGCACATGCCGAGTTTCGGTCCCGTGCATCCGTTCACATACACGTTTCGGCACGTGCCCACTCGGTCCCGAATATCGGCACGTGCCGAGATCTCTAACGTGAACACCCTTTACATATATTATATTTATGACAGCGTGTGTACGAGGTGAGATGTTGACCTGCTGAAACAGGGTGCGCCATTTACTAGTAATCTTCACACGTCTTGAAATCTTCAAAGGGTGAATTCGTTTTGATTACTATATACAACCAACTCCCAATCTGAATGATGCACGGATGACAGCTTATTGTGCTTCGTTATCATTTATGATTATTTTACACGTACTAGTCCGATATGAGAATATTTCAACACTCGTCGAAATGTTACTCCTTGCATTGTTCGCATACAGGCTTCGATGCTGTAGCAATTTATTCCCGCATCCCCATTGTATGTACGATATCATGAGTACAATGTCCTGTATTATGTGAGAGAAAGATGAATAATGCTATAACTAGCAGTAACATACATTACATTATTTACAGTGAAATAGAATTAATAATATCGAGGCGATATCACACAATAAACTATGTAACACAATATCTCCAAAATGTCCAAAGTACAGTCGTAACACATGGGCATGGAAACATGGGAATAACAAAAAATATCCCCATTACAGCGGCGATTTAGTTTGTCTATCATAGAAACAAACACCTGTACACTAGTACTGAGTTTATTTTATTGATAGTCACATGTTAATTTCTTTCCATCATGTCGACAACTCCAAAAGGTTGCTTCCATGTTTTCTGTTTTGTGTCACGGTGTATGCGCATAGTACCATATTTTCCGTCTCAAAATAAAGTTAGTAGACATCCAACAACTATCTCATCGAAAAAAATCGATCTCGGGGCCATATGCAGAAAACAATCCAGCTTATCAACTAAGCTTGGGATCTCACCAACGCGTTACGTGATTTTCCTAATTGCAGACGTGAATTCACATAGCACGCGATAAACTTGAACTTTCTGTGTGTCGCTTTTTAACCATGTTTTACAATAGAAAGGAATTTAAACTAAACAAATCATCGACCAAATTTATTATCATTACTACTGTCACGCACGAGTAGTAGCATTTATGTTTTCAGTAATTTAGTAATATCATCATTTTGTAGGGACCGGAGAGTAAGAGTGGGAACACCGTGCAATGAATAGTTTGTTTGATGTTTACCGTTACGGAATGCCTATATGCAGCTCAGGTCAAAGCTCTAAGGAAGCAGTTCTGACTGGACTGCTATACACATTGACACTCGAAACCAATCTTTGAACACGAAAGTATGAAGTCAATATTAGCAAGCTGAACGTGTCCCCTAAAGTATAAAGAAAGTTCAGTACTCGTTTCTAATTAATTTGCAGCTAAAAACAATTAATATTCAGAATATTTGTTGTTTGATGGGATGATATAAATAGATAGTCATAGTTATGGATAGTCATCTTGTTACGTTATCAGTTGAAAAAAAAAATACACTATCGGTTAAATTCTTGTTACATTATCGGTTAGTGATACATTGTCAGGAATTTATTACATTATCCGTCGGGGTAACATGCCCCAGGTAATCACACACTTCACATTCGCGCTATACATAGCTGCTGTTATAGCCATTACAAACAATACTCGCCTATCGCTCCTGTAATGTTGAATGCACCGGGATTGTATTCAGTTGGCGAGTCCGTCCCTTGACTGTCACATTCGTTCTGACCATTTAGGCGTTGTACTGACTGTAGTAATTCCTGTATCGTTGCAGTTTGCTGTTCAATCAACTCATTTTGTTGCTGAATTTGCCGGCTTAATATGGTTACCACGTCATTTTGTTGATCGTTGTCGTCGTGACATTTGTCACATTCAGGTATTGTTAGAGTAAAGCTACACCCCTGACCTGCCGTGCAATACCGATGATATCTTGCTCTGTCACACTGATCCACCGTACTCTGCGAACAGATCACGGTAACTTTATACAACAGATACAGCGCCGTTGACAGAGAGAACATCTTTCCAAGCATGTTGAAACAATCTGAGTAAGGTTAGAATTGGTCTCCAAAAGTCTTGTTCAGTGAAGCATGGTAACGGTTTATGCAAATAATGATGAACCACGATAACCTGCCTCTTAGTATAGTATAGGCCCGTTGTTCCAGTCTATTATAGACTAGATGCCTTCACACCTTGAAAAATCTTGGTAGGGATCTCTGAATGGCTGGATTCCAGACTAGTCTATTGCAACAGTGACTTAGCCTCGGGCAGCATATCAATCATGACCGGCAACTACGTGTGAGAAGGGCTAATATGTGGAAAACGCAACGCAAAAAAATATCACACAAACATTACGCAAATACTCTTTAAGAATATAGAACATACGGTGAGATGTGATGGTGCCTATCGACTGTCTAATTTGACTAATGGTTTTTATTTTGTATATTTCAGAGAAAATACATTATTAAATTTTGGACCAATCCGATTCATACATTTTTAAATTAATCACGAGCATTTAAATTTCACATACTGTTTTATTTATTGTACCACTATTTATTTATGGACCATACAACACATAACCACACTAAACAAACACGATGTCATAATGTACCGGTATATATATACTAGTATACACCAACTGGCCACACGAACCACGCGGGCGCTTGATGCAGGAATTCTAGTTATTTGAATGAAATAATAGTCTCGAATAAAAATAGTAATTCACTTATTATATTATGTCTATGTTTTTCCCATTACCTTACCCCTTTCTTTACAGCATTACATCAATGCCTATCAATGATTAAAGCGGGGGAGTCGTCACCTGCGCATGCATCAGATGGCCATAGCGTGTTAATGTTTACAAACTAGCGTCCACCCATAAGCCCTTGCGTTTTAGCGTGTGTTGTTATCATCGCCTGGGACTCAATTCCCGCTCGTGCGCAGGGGACGACCATCCCACTTTAAATGAAATGACCGGCATATGACGTACGTCACGAGTATACTGATAGTAACACTGATATGGACGTCGCCAACTTTAGATGACAATAATTATATTTGTAAAAGACAAAACTCAAAGGCAAATGTATCCTTCGTATCATCAATTAATTATGTTACTGAAAATTCGAACAATATCTATCAACAGAATCTGAAAGAATGGAAATCTTAAAAGTCAAAGTTAAGCGTGGTGGCGTTAATGATCCAAATATCATAATCAAATATAGGCTATCGTAAACATTTTTGTGCATATTTCAAACTACAGTGTCCATAACAAATACTAACAACATTTTAAAATTCATACAATAAACTTTCCGAAAATATGTAATTTTGTGGACTAGGGAGGTCATCTTGGTTTCCTAATTAACTAATTAAAATACCTGTCAGGTAAACTGCATCTCTACCTTAAATAAACACTTAGCCGTCATTGTCATTTCAATGCGAATTAATTTATGTCGTGCACTCGGTATAATATTCTTGAAACTTAAAACGAATTCTGAACTAATTGTTAATTAGATAGTTAAATCATAAACATATCTCGAAGAAAATAATATCTGATTGAGCCTAGAGGCGGACGACTCAGTATCTCACAAAATATAGAAACTACACACTAATTATTATTATCTGCCTATGTACTGCATAGTGGGGTTAGGGAGGGGTTCTAATATTTATTATTTAATTATTATACAAGTTACTGCTCATATTTATTAAATGTATTGCATATGTTGAATGGAAAACTCATACTGAGTTTTTATAATTACATGCACACATCACAAATGCTTCATGTCTTTTTAAAACAAGGAATGAAATTGTCCAAAATTATTTTTGGGGGATTAACAAATTTATGAAATAGATTGTATTAAACCCAAGTTGATCATCTTTTGATCTAAATAGATCAGATATCTTCATATTTAATGTGCACATTTTTGTGTTGTTTTCCATTACATCGTGCTTTAGGCAACGAAGATCACGTCCCCGCCAACCATGCTTAAAATGTTAATGCAATTATAGTAGAACCGATGTGTCTAACAATAATTCAATTTGCAAAAAAAAAAAAAAAAAAAAAAAAAAACTAGGCACATACAAATCTACTAAATAATTATTTTCATTATTAGTAGTATCGACCCTCCAATTACGAGTCTGATCAACCTGTATTGCATCTGTCCACCGATTTCAAACAAGTTAACACTTGACACGGACTTGAGGAACATGTGAACAAGTGCGGTCTAAAAAACATAATTAAAAAAAATATACTACAATTTCAACCAACAGACCCTGTCTCAAAATAACACTTTGCATTTCTGACTCGTGATTACATTTGACGCACACAAATTGCAGTGTAACGAAAGCACCAAAGCTCAACGAATTAATTTATCAAAAACATTTATTAAAATACATTGTAGTTTTTTTTCATTGACAAGAAAATTGAAAGTGTTTCTAGATTTCCTGAGTGATGGAGAATCCAATTATTTTGTTTTATTTTTTGATGACGAGGTGTTCGGGGCCAACCGGGAATTTCGTGATATTTTCAGCACCGTCTTCGGTGACAATCAAGATGTCATGTTCTCGGTATCCACCAGCACCAGGACTTCCCTCAGGAATCATGATCATAGGTTCCATTGACACAACCATTCCTGGTTCAAGGATTGTGTGGACGTCCTCTCTCAATTCCAATCCTGTATTGTAAAGACGGAGATAGAAAAAGAGAGACATTTTGACTTAAAATAAGTGATAAATCATAGTACTGACTACAAAGTAACCTTAGTTGCATTCAACACAACTGTGTATGCTTTAGTTTTGTGTTTGTTTATATTCACAAGCTTACCAGCTTCTCGTCCATAATAATGACTTAAAATCCCAAAAGAGTGACCATAGCCAATTGGAAGATCATTCAGTAAGTCATGTTCACGATATATTTCATTCAACTCCCAGGCAATGTCGCTACATCGAATCCCGGGCTTGATTAGCTCATTCCCCTTGCGCTGTACTTTGCAGTTAATCTCCCAGAGTTCTAAGTGTCTGTCGGAGGGCACATGGTCGACGAACATAGTCCTTTCTACTGCTGTGTAGTACCTGTAACGAGAAATGATATTCAAAACAAAAAGTGAATTTACGAAATTACATGCACACGACAAGATGTAAACGTACTAGTCTTTATTAGTAGAACGACTCGGTCGACAGACAATTCATATTGTGTCAGATTGTAGTTGTATTGTCGGCAATATTTAAAAGCCTTTTATGGTATGTAATATGTGTACTGTAATAAATACAACAGCTATGCGATTTTCAAGATATCTGCCCCGCCAATGGCCGAACATCGCTTTGATTAGGTTTTTAATACCCTAGAGTGTCACCAAGTCAACGAATCGCACGCGGGTTTCTCTGTTTGACGACCGGAAATGGGCTATGCACATGGACTATGATTTTACAAAATGAATAATCGATGTCAAGCATTTTTCATTAACATAGTCTGGTATGCACACTATACTCTTTTTTTTTGAATAGCCAACAGGTTCATCTTTCATATACATGTTTATGACCAATGACTATATTACCGATATAACATCGTACATCGCGCTCCCGAAGCAGAATTCAAATAGCAATGCATGACGGGATTTATTTCTGTGAGGGCAATAGATAATGCGTCAGGTTTCGATCAGTATAACCCGCGAACGCTGCATCTATAAGATTTGATTTTTGACCAAGTTACTCGAAATCAAACGGGCTTTCAACTAGGTTTTCCGACAATAAAATGTTAAACCAATTACATAACAGTACTTAAAATATTGAATAATAATATGATACTAACATAACGAATACTAACTTTTACCAAGGAAAGTGTTGTAATGAAGCGTTTTGCAATATACACCTTCAATTATATCGAAAATGCATTGGTATAAAGATTATAATACGTTGTCATATACAATTTAAAACTTACTCTACCATTTAAATATAATATATGGTTTATCTGGCAAAATTATTGCGATTATACAAATTAGCAACTATTTCTCTTAATTCAGGGGCACTCAAAATAGGTTCAGTATAAAACCCCTGGCTGATTGCTTTTTGAAAGTTCACAGTGACGCTATCTTTTCCCCCATGTATTCACTATAATACCAGGAATAATATGAGGTTATTAC